TGCATTACACAGGCCACGTTACAAGGGAGCCCTGGAGGACATCAACGAGGCTCTATCACGTGATTTGTTAGAAAACAACACGAAGATGCCTGCAAGCGAACGTCAGAAGATTCTTTATAGTATGGGGGGCAAAGGAACTTACCTAGAGGTGCCTCAGCTGCTGAAAGAGCTGAGAGAGGAAGCAGATCATCCTGTAGAAGAAAGAATTCGTATTCAGGGTTTACATCGGTTACGTCGTCGTGGTATTGCAATAAACGTCGATGAGCTGAGAAAGCGGCCATTTGTTCGTAAAGAATTCACAGGGCCAGTAACAACTGAAGACTATGAACCTGATCTTACCGATGCAGATATACATCAGAGGCAAAGCGCTGTAAATGGCTGGCTTCAGATGCAGAATAGAGCGAGAGTATTGCAGAAACAACACCTACGACACAGAAGAACCGTGGGAGCCAGTGATCCTGTTCATGACGATGATTTTCAAGTCGATGAAGAAGATATCCTTGGACTCAGCATCAATGCAAAGCTCAGCCCAGACGAAGGAGGGGTATACGGCGAGCAATACCGAGAATATTTCGATGAGGATGGTGGAAAGGGAGTAGAAAGTGATGAAGAAGCAAATTAAATAACAAACAAAAAAAACGAGCAAAAAAAAAAACAGAAAACTCGAAAAATTCAAACAAAAATAATAAAATGCAGAAATCACAAGACCCAAAAAAATGCAGTTTAATTCTTCTGACCGATGCATTGGCGCGGCTGCGCAACTGCAACACTCGAGGTGTACGTACACCTCAGCCTGCCGCCGCGGCCAGCAAGCGGAAAGAGGAACATCATTTTGTATACTCTTTGGCAACGTTTTTGGAGCCGCTTTCAGNGCGGCCAGCAAGCGGAAAGAGGAACATCATTTTGTATACTCTTTGGCAACGTTTTTGGAGCCGCTTTCAGCGGCAATGGCCTCATGCTTTGCATTGAGAAGAACTCTTCTCAATTCATCTTCTTTCTCTCCTAACTTTCTGCTTTCCATCCATTTATCCCAGTGTATATTAATTTAGCTTTCTGCACGGTGGTGGTCCTTGCCGTATAGCAGGCGGTGGTGTAGTTGTGTTCATATTCCCGCGAATTTGAACAAAGTAAAATAATTAAAAAGAGTTTTTCCACGCATTAATTTAGTTTAATTTAATTATTTTCGAATTTCCCTATTGTTCTGCATTTATGAATTTCAGCAAACAGTATGACGCGGCTGCTGGGGCTTAGCCGACGGCGGCGGCCGCGGCTGCGAGCCGCTGTCGATAAGTAGCAGTGGAAAAAGAAGCTTAATCCTGCTTTCTCTGTTGTCTTCGAATAAAAAAATAAATTAAACTATTATTTTAAATATAATTTACAGCTTGAAGGCCTGGAAACCCC